TCTTTGGTTTTTTTACAGCTTTTCATTTAAAATCTGCTCTTTCTGATGCAGTGTAAGTGCTCCTGCTTAGTTTTGGTTTCCTTTTGTGTGGTACATCATTTTCCAACCCTCCACTTTTAGTTAGTGTCTTTACCAGTGAAGTGAGTTCCTTATAGGCAACCACTAGAAGAGCCTTTTTAGAAATCTACTCAACTGCCGGGTGCGGTGATGCTCGCCTGTGGTCTCAGCACTCAGGGGACTGAGCAGGAGGATCACTGCAAGTTCAAGGCCAGCCTGGGCTACATAGTGAGACCCTGTCTCAAAAACATCCACCCAACCAGTCTCATCTTTTGCTTGGTGAATTTAATCAATTTATAGTAAAGGTTATTATTGATAATGGTAAACTTCCTCCTGTCATTTTGTTAATTGTCTTCTGCTTGCTTTGTATATTTTTTGTTCCTTTCCACATTTTATCATTTGTTTCTCCAATTTGGTGATTTTCTGTGATTCTGTTTGATTCTTTTCTTCTTTCATATATTTGTTGTTCTAATGAATTTGTGTGTTCGCACATTTCCAAGGCTGTAGTTATCATCCTTAGGTTTCTCGTGTAAACTCCCTTAAGAGTTTCTTAGAGGGCTGGTCTGCTGCTGCTGAATTTCCTCAGTTTGTACTTAGCTGGAGAAGACTGTTTCTCTGTCCATTATGGGGGATAATTTTGCTAGGTATAGCATTTTTCAGTGGAAGTTTTTTCCTTTTGGTATTTTGAATATATGAGCCTATTCTCTTCTGACCTGTAAGGTTTCTCCTGAGAAATCTGATTGAGTTTCATGGAAATTATCTTATATTTGACTTGATGCTTTGCTTCTGCTTTTCGTCTGATTCTTTGTCTTGTACTTTTGATATTTGACTGTGAAATGCCTTTGTGAAAGTCTGTTTCTGTGAGTCTAGTTGAGCTCTTTGGAGGTTCTTGAATCTGGATGCACACAGCTCTGAAGATTCAGAAGTTTTCGGCTGTCACTTCGTGAGAGAGGTTTTGATACCTTTCCCTTTTCTTCAGTGTCTAGAATCTCCATAGGGTGCGTGTCTGTTCCTCTGATGAGGTCCTGCAAGTCTCGGAGGCTTTCTGCGTCCCCTTCGCCCTTCCTCCCTCTTTCCCTTCTTTCCCTCCGTTTTCCGGTCTGACTGGGTTAATTAAAAATCCCTGTCCTTGGGTTCAGACATTTTTTCTTCTGCTTATCCGAGTCTGTTGCAGAAGCTCTCTATTGTGACATGCATTTCACTGATTGAAGTCTTTAGTACCAAGATTTTTAATTGTTCCTTCTTTCCAAATTCTCTTTGCTGAATTTCTCATTCACATTCTGAATAGTGTTTCTCATTTCTTTGTATTATTACTCTATTTTCTTACAGCTCACTGAATTTTCTTATGACCATTACTTTAAATTCTTCAGAATTTAATTTCATAGACTTTCTTCAAATTAGAATCTACATTTGGAGAATTACTGATTCTCTTTAGAGTTATCATGTTTTCTTTCCTGTTTCTTATGTCCTTATGTTAATGTCTGTGTATTTGCTGTAGTGTTCGTGTGTGTGTGTGTGTGTGTGTGTGTTGTGTGTGTGTGTGTGTGTGTGTGTGTGTGTGTTAGTTACTGGAGACTGAATCCCAGATCCTTCACACTGAGCTGCCTCCCCAGCTCTTCTTTAATTTTTTATTTTGAGACTAGGTTTCCCTAAGCCACTGAGCTGCTCATTCTGGGCTTGAACTTGTGATCCTCCTGCCTCAGCCTCCCTTAGTGCTGGGGTTACAGACATTCACCACCACGCCTGTCTTAACATTAATTTCTTCCACTTGTATGCAGTAGCTTTTGGAAGGAATGAAGCTGCCATTTAAAAGTGATTCAGGATGTCAGTTGGAGGTACTTCGGGCTTGTATGTAGGGAAGGTAAAAGTGTGGTCACCGTGGTCCCTTCCCTTAGGTGCTGGCAGGGCCGTCAGTCTTCAGGGGCTACAGCAGTCCTCAGAGGTCATTGACTGACCTGGCAGTGGACGTTGGACTCTGCAGCTGTCTCTGTCTCCATGGAGCCATGCGCTGATGGTGCTGGTACGGTGGCAGCTGCCATAGTCTCTGGTGTGTGACGGGGAGAGGTCTGCCTCCAGGTCCCTGTGGTGACATAGCTGTATGAAGACCTTCCCCGGGGCCCCAGGGTGAATGAGGAGACCCGGCTGGTGCACCTACAGCCACAGTTCTGGAGCCCCCGGCAGGATGGAGCCTCTTCCAGGTCCCCAGATGTGCACAGGTGGTGCTGAGTCTGTGGCCTGGTGATGTGGACGTGAAGCTTTAGAACACAAAAGGGGCCTTCCCTGGATGCTGTGGGGTGACTGGGGGTAGTTCTGGGCTTGTGGTGTGGTTAGCCACATTTGAGGACCCCAGAGACCCAGATGATCCCACCTCCAAATCCCAGGGTATGTGGTCCCAATGCTGTGGCGACGTCCCCGGGTCTTCTGGGAAGCTGCAGGTGATACCTGGGCTTGTGGTACAGCAGCTGGGGTAGATCCTTACCAGGTCCTGGGGACAAGTGCTGGGGCTGATGGCTTTGGTATCTGTAGCCCTGCAAAGTCCCTAGGCCACACCCATGGATGCAGAGAGGGTGAGGTGTGTGGTGCTGCTAGTAACAACGTGGAGTGGGAGAACACAGATGGGCTCTCCCGGGTCCCCAGGGCCAGGCCAGAGGGGTGGAGCTTCCACCAGGGACTGCAGCTCTGTGGGCTGGGAAGCAGGCCCATGCTGGAGCCTGTTCCCCGCAGTAGTGGCTGGGGAGCACATGAGCAGGTCTCAGCTGGAGGCTGTGGTGGCTGCTGTCCTGATGCTGCAGGACATTGGGGGACCTGTCTTCTGCCCTGTGAGGCACACCTGGTCACGTGTCGGCTCCGGCCCCTAAGGCAGCATGTGTCTTGGTGGCTCTTGAGGTAGCCCGAGTCTGGGAGCAGGGGTCCAAAGCAAGTGCCTTCTGTGAGCAGAGGACATACTTTTAGAGCAGCCAGCTCCCTCAGTGGTTTAAAGCTTGCGAGTCTGTGGGGTCCTGCGGCCATTTAGACTGCTCTATGCTGCCAGGACAGGGTTGCCCGAGGAGGCGCTGGGACCCCACCCCTGGAGGGCTGGGTGGATATTGTGAACCAGAAGCCCTGTCCTCTGCTCATGTTCCTTGGGGCTCCAGGCTGCCCTCGGGACGCCCCAACACAGGCTCTCCTGGCCGACTGCCCTCACAGGAAACTGTCTCCAGCTCATTCTTATCCCTTCAGCAGTTGCTGATGGCTTCTTTCTAAGCCGGTCATTTTATGGGCGCTGAAGATAGGCGAACATCCCTCTGGGGATGCAGGAATACAGCACCTGTAACCGGAGCAGCTGCTGCGTGGTGGGGTCTCACAGTTCATGCCTTTGTTGAGGGGACCTGGAGCCACACTGCTTCTTTACCGTTCCCTTCAGCCCCCTCAACCAAGGCCCTTACTAATCTACAAAGCACACTGGGCAGACACCAAGCCCTACTGTATTTGTTTTCTTCAAATGAGGAAATAGGCACTCAGTAGTAAGAATTCACCCAGTGCAGATCGTATAACATCTAAGTTCCAGATTCTTCCTGACATTCCATGGCCCTGATTAGACTCTGTGTGATCCCAAAGCAGTCTTTGCCAGAGAAACCTTAAGGAAGAGCCACCCTCATGCAAAAGACAATGGGCTGTAGGGTACCGCTCTGACAGGCGTCCAAGGCACCCGAAGCCAGTGTGTCCCCTGGACAGGTGGTCTCCTACCCAGAACAGGTGACCGAGCTATCACCATCGCCTCAGCCCCAACCCACCTGCCAAGATAGTGAAGGTTGACAGATGCTAGGCACGGACTCTGCGCCTAGTGAGCTTCTTCCTGCCTGTGCCAGCTGTTGCTGAGCCCACAGACAGAGGAGCACGACGGCAATGCTGTCCTCTCAGGGCAGAGCCTGCCACCCACTGCGTTTGTGCCCGGAGCTGACTCATGGAGTCTGCACTCTCGTGGCTCAGATACTGTTACTACCCCTAAAGTTCACTTGGACACACAGAAAGTTTCCCTTGCCACGGCCAGGTAGTAGGTAATAGAGAAGTGCTCTTCACCACTGTGTCAGAACCGCTCTAGTACCCCACACTCCCTTACTGCTTCAGGGATGTAAAAGTTAGGAGGGAATCCTCCTACTAAAGAGATCAAAAGAAAACATTTATGTGATCTAACATCCGGAGGTCCACAGGCCTCTTCACATTTGATATCCCAGAAAGTACTTCCACATATCACCTTGGTGTTGGAATAGCCCTTTCAAACCCTACTGTCTGCCGTGTCCACGAATACAGGTGCTCTCACTCCTAGGTGCGTTCACCTGCAGCTGCTCTTCTCACCCTGGCACTGCCAGCCTCTGCCTAAGTAGTCAGTTTTCCTTCTCCACTTCCTTCACTGTGCTTGCAGTGAGAGCCTGTTGAATTGATCCTTTTTCAGTTTTATGCCCTTCATCCTGACGAACTCTTTCACAACAAACATAACTGTGGTGTGGAAGCTGTGTGGTGGTGTTGACATACAGTGGTGCCTCTGTTCATGAGCTTGATTCTTTTCACAATTCTCGTTGCAAACCAAATTGGACGAGAACGGAATCAAATTTCTCCGTAATGTCCACACCAGACCCGACCATTGAATTTGACTCAGTTCTCATCCAACTCGGTTTGCAGCCGGAATCACGAAAAGAACAGGGTTCAGGAACTGAGGCCCTGCAGTATAAGGACTGTTGTGGTGGGAGCCTGCTGCAGAGGGGAGGCACACATGAGAAGTGGAGGAAATGTTAAGAACCTCTGATGGACATGCCGTCTTTTCTTGTGAAAAGAAGACTTCCTGTCCATTACACATGTGTTCTCTGGAAGGGCGTATGCTGTTCCTTCAGAAGTCGGGTCCTGGGCTCCTGGCCGCATGGTGGGCTGGGCCTGTGGGCAACCCAGCTGACGGTGCTGTCTTGCAGGTGTTCGCATTGCTGTGGATCGCAGACTGGATGGTCCACCACTTCTGGAGGAAAGGAAAGGACCCGGACAGCTTCTCCATCCCCTACCTCACGGCACTGGGGGACCTGCTGGGCACGGCCTTGTTAGCCTTGAGCTTCCACTTCCTTTGGCTCATTGGAGATCGAGATGGAGATGTGGGAGACTAAGAAACCCTGCAGCCGCTGTCCGCGCCAAGGAGGAGAGCACGAGACAGCCACCTCTGGCTCTTTTTCAAAACTCTACAAAGTCAGAAGTCATCAGCAGACTTCTGCAGGGTGATCTTGCAAGGGCCCTGACTCCATTAAATGGCCTTAACATTTTTTAAGGAATTTTTCCTGAAAACAGAATGAACAATATTTGTGCTGCTTTTTATAGAATAAATAATTTGACATAGACGTAGCCACAGACTCAAGTAAGAAAGAATATAGGATATTTACAATGAATAATCTTGAAATAGACTCGGCAGAGGTGGACTTTATTATTATTTACATTATAATGCAGGGTTAGCAGAACGGAGCTCGAGTTGAGCCTCTTGTGCCTCACAGGTAGATTATGCTGCAGGCATACTGGCAAATAAAAGGCACCCAGCCAAGCTTTTCAGTTTTACTTATGCCCACCTCAATGCTAGCTGAGGACAAATCTACCAGTCACTTAAATATGTTCTACTGAGGGCCAGGAATGTAGCTCAATGGTTCTGCCACCTGCCTTGCAGGTACAAGATCCCATGTTTGATCCCTGGTACAAAAAAATATTTTTTTTCATTCATTCATTCTACTGACCATACCATGAGCTCATTCTCACTTGCATGTAAAAGTACCCTGTACCAATGCTAATTTAATTTCAGCTCTTCAAGTTTTCCCCAGGCTACCTGTAAACACAGCCATCTTGAGAGACCTGTAATGAAACCAGTGAGCCATTTCTGATCTTTTATTTGTAGGAAAAAAATGTTGCCAATATGCAAAACACTTCAATCAAAAAGAGAATATAGGGCCAGAGATTTCCACCACCTGCCTCGCAAGTGCAAGGCCCTGAGTTTGATCCCTAATACCAAAAAAAAAGAGAAGATAGATGGTCTGAGCTTCATTTGTAGACAAGATGGTATGAGAAACACATGCGAGAGTCTGAGAGGCGCTTTCTGGGAAGAACTTGATCTTGGATTGCTGATAGTAGGGATCAGTAATCTTGGAATAAAAGCAGTATAGAGTTATTCTTAAGCACATTTTATTAATATATTTTGGTCATTTGGTCCCAAAATTTTGTTACTGACCAGAATTTGGTATTTGTTATCTATATTATAATGGAACAAGCAGTTCCTCGGTTCTCATACAGGAGCCTGTCATGTGCCCTTGGACAGAGAAGTGGGCAGGTCATTTCAGTGAGGGCTTGCACCTGTCCATGTCACTGTTGGCCCAGGCTGGTGAGGCCGTGGGTCCTCGCTGCACACACTGCTGTAAGTCCCAGGTGTGTGTGTTCTAAACACCTCGAGCAACATCCCCACTGTTCAGTAGGCAAGCCTTTTATATCATGTATCACTTTTTTTTTTTTTTTTACCGGGGATCGAACTTGGGTTCTTATGCTTGTGAAGCAGGTGGTGGAACCACTGAGCCAAATCCCCGGCCCACATATCACTTTTTAAAACACAGTGCAATCTCCTAAGACCATGAGATATTTAATAATTTAAACTGATAAGGGAATAAAATGCACATCACCTTTGATTATTGTGGTTTAAGTTGTGAGTCTTTATAAATATATTGCTGAAGTATCCTTATTAAGCTCTTTAAGGGCCTGAGGTTTAGAGTTATATATTTTTGCTTATTTTTAAACTTTAATTGCATTCTTCTGCCTTATAGTGAAACTTTGAAGGCAGACACTGAACTAATTATGGAATTTCTCCTTTGGAGAGTTACAGTGTCACATAGTGAACATTTTTGTAAAAGAAATAATAATCATTCTTTAGCTTTAATAATATTTAGCTGCAGAGATTTATTTTTTAAAAACTCCATGAATAATGTCTTCGGTTTTGTTGTAGAGCACGTGTAAATCCCTTACCTACGCTCTCGCTCTGTGTCGCTCGCCATGCCCGTTTCTCGGTGGTTTCTGTTGATTAGGCCACAGTGGAAGTGCTCACCAGCCCTGTGGTGCCGAGTGCTCTGCTGTGAAGCTCTCTCGATGCACTGCAGCATTTATGTTCACAGCTGCACCTGGGGCGTGGGTCACATAGCTGTTCCTGTCCATTCTGCAGCAGAGGAAGTGGAAACACAGAGAGGCTGTGCAGCTGCAAAGTGACCAAACTGCTCTCCCGAAAGGCCTGGCCCGCATTCAAAGAGCAGCCAACTGGAGACACAGTGTTTTCCTGTCTGGAGTATTACCACGTCTTCCCCGTGTGTGTCCGGGGCTCCCTCAAGTCCAGCTTGATGGTGAGTCCAGCCAACTCTTAAGTCACTCACCTTCCTGAGATTGAGGGAAACATAAGTGAATACCAGGGATTGAACTGAGGACCTCGCGTCTGTGAGGCACGCAGTGGCACCACTGAGCTAAATCCCTGGCTGAAAATATTTTATTAAATACTTCATTTTATTTTATAAAATGCTTTTCAATTTATGACGAAAAGTTGTAATAAAGAACAACGTCTTATTTTCGAGAACGTCTAATTGCCACATGCTTCCCAGATCTTGCCATTTGCCATAGGTGATGAGAACCAGGATGACTGATTGAATTTTGTCTCCTTTCTTGTTCACTACTTAACCTTGGTGAGAGCAACAAGTGTCTAAAAGGCATGAAATAGGGGGAAAAGGAATGAAAAATATCAGTCACTGATTAGCTAATTATAAAAGGATATAGATTCCTTTAAAAATTATCACTGGTGTCTTGAAAGCCTTCATATAAGTATGTAACCAATAAGATGATTTCCTTCATTTGCCCATGAAAACAATTTATTGTCAGTCTTATATAATGTAAATTAACAGTATTTATTTTTATTATACATAAAACTTGTGCTTTCCAAAATTATTCTTTCACTAATTTATCAGACACTTTATTTACATACAGACAAGCTCTTTTTAAGTCATATTTTTAATTTTTGCCCATCAAAATATTTTTTTCAAAAACAAAGCTACTTAGAATCTGTAAAATAGAAATTTAAGGTAATGAATCTTCTGGGAGACATCACAGAGTTGCACCCAGGGCCATCGATGGGAGGCCAGGTTGGTGCCCTTCAGGCCTTCATCGCTGGGGCTTCCTCACCTTTGGATGAGTCCACGGTTAAGTCTACCAGTGTATGATGGGCTCCTGTCACCTGTGAATTGTTTTAAATGCAAATAAAATTTAAAATAATATCAACCCCGGCTCTTTGTGGTTGCTTCTCGATGAACTACAGAGCATCAGGCATATGTACCAGTGTCCCAGAAGAGACAGGCCGATCTGCTTTTGGGTTGTGCTCAGGAGGTATAATGAATTGGGCACTGGCCACACCTGGACCTCCAGCCATTGCCTTCCTGGCTTTGCTCCGTTCGTGCCTGTTGGATTCTCCTCTTGTCACCTGTCTGCCACCCTCGTTCATCAGTCTACCCCACAGCTGACTGCTTCCCACGTGAGGGATGGGACACCGGCCCTGGATAACCCTCTGCCCACACCTGCGCCGCTGAGTGTGGCTCATGGAAAACATGACCGCCCAGGCCAGTCTGCAGCTGTAACCTCAGCCGTCACATTGACTCCCACGGCCTCGAAGCCTGCTGAACTTCTCCTGGTGTTTCTAGAGACCAGGTACTCATCCCCACCACTTCCTGGGAGTACACCTGTCAAGGTCACCAGCAGTTTCCATGGTGCCAAATCAGTGCTGGGTGCCTAACAAGAAGTCTCGCCTTATTCAGTCTCTGAGGCAGTCTCCTGCCTCCTTGAAGTGGCTTCTTTGCTCCCAAGACCACCTTTGCTGTTTTCCTTGCCTTCTTGCAAGGTGCCTGGCTTGCTTTTCTGCTAGCTCCTCATTTCCATTTCTAAAGACTGGGACGCTGAAGGGCTCAGCTGCTCTTCCTCAGTCATTTCACCTGTGGCCTTGTTAGGAGTATCATCTATGCTGTGTACTCCCATATCTACTTCAATCCCAGCCTTTTAATTACACTCCAGCTCTAACCGCAGCATTCAAGAGGCTGAGGCAGGCGTATCACCGCAAGTTTGAAGCCAGCTTGGGCTATGTAGTGAATTCAAGGCCAGCCTGAAGTAATAGTAAGACCCTGTCTCAAAAAAAAGCATTCCATATCTGTGTTTCCTAATGCCTGCTGGGCAGCTCCCCTTGGATGCCCCCTGAGGTGAGGATCACAGGCATTTGGTCAACACCGCTGTGTACCTTGGCATCTGTAGACCACCGGTCCAACAACTACTGAGCACACATCAAAGCTAATCTCCTTGTATAAAAAGCATCCATATATCAGAAAGAAGACCAGTAGGTCAATATTAAACCAGCAAAGGGAGGACAGTTCATAGACAATAGATGTTCAAACCTCTCAAACTAAAATGCTAATTAAAATCACACCAAGGTACTACCCACGAGGTTGGCAAAAATTCAAAATTGGATAAAATCTTGCTTGGCAAGTCTTCAGTGAGAGAGAATTACCAGCGTTAGGGAAGAATGATAAAAACCCTGGACAGATGACCAGCTGTCTGTGTGACAAGGCGACCTAACCGCCAGAGTGCGCTGACCACCGGAGCTTGTACCCACCACCACCTTCAGACCAGGTGAGTGAAGGCTGCTCCAGGCCCTCTGCCACGTGGTTCACAGCAGAGTTTGGCAGACGATGGCCAGTGGGCACATCCAGCACTGCCTGCTTCTGTGAGGAGCTTTTTTAGTCGGCAGCACAGCCTATGAAGCCTGGCACATCTGCTCTCGGGCCCTTTACACGAAGGTGCCCTGTGCCTGCCAAAAAGAGTGGATGCCTCGCATTGTGCTCCCAGGTCCCGGCTCTGGACATCTGGGGTCAGCAGCGCCCACTGTGGTCCCCGGTCGCCAGAGCGCCTTTCTCAGTTCTCAGTCACCATCCAGGTGGGCACAGGCCATGCCTGACAGGATTTGTCCCCTTCAGGAGCCTCTTACTCTTCCCACCTTGTGTGGGGACAGCTAGACTCAGGCTAGGGGGTTGTCCTGACTCTCTGTCCAGCCCCGGTTCCAGCAAGGCAGCTTGGGAGGTGACTTCTCTTGCTGGCCAGGAGGATGCTCACATGCGATTACAGGAACTCTCAGGTGCACAGGGTGAGTTTGGAGCCCTGGCTGCTGACAGCCTAGCTCTCCCCTGCCCCCTGGCTGGCTCACAGCATCCAGTCCAAAGCACGATGGAGCAGGCACCCCGGCCTGCTGCGGGTCCTCTGCCTGTCGGGCCGTCCCCCAGAGTGGCTCTTCCCATCGGTGTCCATGCCCCTAGTAGCTATGGTAATGTTGGGCTTTCTCTGTGCAGGAGGCAGCCGCTGGGCAGAGGGGCTCACACTGCCCCGGTGCTCCTGGTCCCCCCATCTCCCTGTGGTGACAGTGCACAGAAGGCAGGGACATGGTCTAGTCATAACCAGAAGTTTAAAGAAGACACATCAAAAGACTGTTTTACACTTATGCTGTAGGATTCCAAACGGCAAATGTAAATGGACCTGGCCAAAATACAAATTACTGTTCCTATTTTCCTAAAACCAGCCTTCACGAGGCCCAGCAACCCCGAGACCAACGCTGGGACCAGCATTCCCCGGTGGCGCAGCTGCACAAGTGATGGTACAAGTAGCATGACGTGACTGGCATCAGGGAAATGAGCAAGAAAACCTGCACCATTCAGTGCCAGTACATTCTGAGCAGCTGTGGTACTGCTCATACCTTCGTCTTGAAGCAGAAGATTTGAAATTAGCCAGGAACAACACATCTGACAATAAAAAATACAAAAGATGGCACCAGACACTCTGAAGAATCGCCATTTGCCCTTATCAGATAATACTCAAATGCATATGCATCTCTCTCCTACCCATTCTATTAAAATTTTATCAGTAAGTCATAACACACGGGCGCAAGAATTTTATAAAACATTTGAAAGTCAAGTCGCTTATGAGGACAGGGCCCCCCAAGAACACCCGCCCGGAGCTGGGCAGCCCTGCAGGGGCTCCATCCTGCAAATGCCCCGGGCACGCGCACTGATGCACTGTGAGGCAGTTTGTTACGGCCTTGCTTGTAACAGCAAAAGATGAAGAAAAACGGTGGAGCCCTAGTGGGACAAACTATAGTCCATCCACACAGCAGTATGCAAATAGAGGCAAAAGGGTAAGAAATACATTTCTGAACTGGTACATTTGAAACCTCGGGATACAGAGTAAGGTGGAAAAAGTAAAGCGTGGGACAGAGTATAAAATATTCTCCTTGAATCAAAAATGAGCAAGTCACAGGGCCCAAGGAGCGGTAAGGGGCAAAAAGCAGGGTAATTGGCAGTGTATACACCGCAGAGCATTTTAAGGAAAATTTGTTGTTTTGGAGGGGGGTTGTGTTTTTTTTTGTTTTTGTTTTTGTTTTTTTGGTACCAGGGATCGAACTCAGGTCCTTGCGCTTGAAAATTTGTTTT